GTCTCGTAATAATTCAAAACTTGATCTGCATATGTCACCCTCCGGGATACTTAGGTCTATAAGGTTCCATAATGCTTTCTTTCGAAAAGCACACTTAAGAACATGATTACGTTATTTGCTGCTTCTTCCTTCCGGGAAGCGAATACCTTCAACAGTTTCACTGATGAGACTCAATGCACTTCCTAGTTCATTTGTTTTGACAGTTACAAAAGTGTTACCGATGTGATGAATCCAAAATTTTCGTTTTGATTATTGGAATTATTATTGATTCTAATCTCTGTATCACAGTTATTAGAGTTCAACCCAGATATTTCTAAGCTTCTGGCAATTCCTTTGATTTCTTTGTGGTTCTTTCCACTGAACTGAATGTATGTCGCGAGAATAAGGTTCATTAGCTCAACCAAGTTTGTAGTAGTCATTTCCGAATTTTTCTGAAGATTCTGGTCAGTTAAAGAAGGATACTCATTGATTCTTTGGAGAGATCTGGGTTGACTGACATGAAGAGTAAGTCTGTTTCAAAGAACAGAACTTCTTGATCGATATATATCTTGAGGTCTTTTATTCTCTCAAGGGACCAAGTTATTGAATTAATCGATTATTCACAGTTTCTGTAGTTTTTCAGCTGTTATTCAAGTAGTTTTAGGTGAGGATTGTGAGATCGCATAGAAATTCAGCATATCTGGCTTCTCCAAATTGTTATTTGCTCCGCATTCCCAGGAAATTTTATGCTGCTGAGAATAAAGTTTCTTCGAAAAGGCTCACTATCCATTTCTGTTTTGATGTGTCATATTTATTATATACAATAAATTATTCAGTGTTACCAGTTTGTGGTTCGCATATAAATATGCTTGAGTCAGGAAAAGTGTAGGCGCCATCTAGTTGGATAAAGGGGGAGACATGCGGCTAACCAGTTGTGTAGACTGGAGATATAAGAATACGACCGCGTGTTCAGATAATATTAAGGGCAAACTTAAACTGCCCAACCCTAAGTTATATCATGCTGAAATGGACGATAAAAATTACCGTTAACACCATTGTTAATTAAACGTCATTGACTGGATGGTTAATAAGTCAGTCCTTTCACCAGCAGTGGGATTTTTTATTTACAAATTATTCCCATACTTTCAAGAAACAGCTGAAGTCCATTTATCGTCTCTCATCGTGTACTGTGCAAACAGTAGAGTTTCGATATCGAAGTCATTTTATATCTCTTCTCTTTGATTTCTATTCTTCCAAAAATCTTCTGGAACACCTTGTTCTAATCGTTTTCGAAAATAGTGAGCTGATTAGTTCCACTTTAGTCTGTTTATTAGATATGTTACACAGTAAAACAGTACCATTTACTGGATAACGTTTAAGACACAATTTATTGTCCATATTCGTATTATGTTAAGCTGAGTAAACTATTTCAAAGTCTTGGTTAGTGACAAGTTTTCTTTGTCTGAGTTACTAAAACAGACTTGGATGAGGGTTTTTATTTTTTGCTCACCACTTTAACTACTTTATAGTTTTAGAGTAGTATAAATGTCCCGTATAAATGTCCCAGTTTTTTCCTGTGAAATTATTAACCGATCCCATTTCGTAAACAAATTCAACTTATTATATAGTCTAACACTTCTAATCGTTTAATTAGTCATATTTTTACTGAAGTAACTCTGATGACAAACAATATCAATTACTATATCTCTATACATTGCGTGTTCATTCAGATAAGACTTACGATAAAAAGCATAGGATCTAGCAGTTTATGTAATAGTCGATGCCTATACAATTTTCAGTACTACCAAAATTGATGAGACTAACCGATCAAATGTCAGGATTTCACCTGGGAAAATAGTTTTTCAACGAACTGAAGAACGTGGTTGGTTATCTCAGCAGCTGCTAGGGTGACCTTTAAAGTCATTAGATGAATTTATTATCGTGTGACTTTATCGGCCACTACTACAGCTACCGAGACAATCAGGTTTCGATATTCTTATTAGAACATGTTTTTTCATAAAATTGAGAAATGTAATTAGTTATCTTAACAGTTGCAAGGGTAGCCTTTAAAGTTCCTCGATATATGTATTTGAAACTATGTTTATTTTTCATGTTTTCCCAGGTTTCTCAGTAGGCTCTAATCCACATTTTAATGCATTGCATCCAGGTTATAAGTCATAAATATAAGGAAATCATACATAAAACCATTTTAACTCACTAGTTTTCATCCAGAAAAACAAAATATCCCATATCATTTTATTTTTATGACGAGTGAATTTTAACACACCTTAAATTATTCTCATATATTTATTGTTTTAAACAAAATATGTCTGAACAACTGTATTTAACTGAAGTCTTGAATAAATTGAACACATTAAATTAAGTGTTAATTTGTTCTTCTATCAAAAGTATCTGTAATGTTGTATATATTAATGTATAAGATTTATGGTTGTCTTATTGATTTTATTGATTATTTCAAATTCTGCTTTCTGAATATTTTTATACTTGTAGAAGGTTATTTCTTCAATGAAAGATTTAATCTGAAGTGTCTTTCAAATTTTTAAATCACATAAATGTGTATGTTTGTAACTTTAGAGCATTAGACAAGTGTTTCATCCCAATAGGAAACTCCTCAGTATCAAGCAATCAAAAACCCTGTCACGAGATGAACCCAAGCTTTTCAGGTTCTGTGATCAGCATACTATAACTAAGTTATTAGTTAGGAATCGAATGATCCAAATATTCCTACTTCTGTCAGTTCATGATATAATGTAATGCTGACTAACCGTCCGCACATCCAACTTGGTTTCCCAACCTAGTAATGACTTCACATTAGAATGTCGGTAAATTCCATCACAATGAATATCAACTTGTAATCAATCAATCCCCAGAGACTACATTAAATTAATGTCAAGTGGTTATTAGTGACCACTGAGTAGTCGTGATCAGTGGGACAAATCAAGTTGGATGTGAGGATTGTTACTCAGCAGCAGAAATGAATGAAGGTCTTGCTATATCACGAACTGACAGAAGTAAAAGAAATGAGACCACTAAATTCTGATCCAACAGCTTGGCGGTAACAAGCTCCTCGTAAAGTATGTAGGTCATCAGTTCTGTCCCTGGAGGGGTCGTGAATGTCCACAGTATAGATTCCACTTATATACCGAATAGTGTATATTGTCTGAACTCCAGGAGATAATAAATCGCATCTTCCAATCTGAAACTGATGCATAGACTCAACTGTGTGATCAAATACCGGACCTTACACCAGCTATACTCCACTGCTGTTAAATACTTCTCTTCTAGTGGGTTTTGATGAACTAAGTTAGATACTGAGGTGCAAACTTAACTCGGTCTCCCATACCAGTAGTATATATTACTTCATAAGTAACGTTTCTGTGCCAAATTATTATTTATCTATCATTATTTGTCCTTTGAGTTCCTAGTGGAACACAGGGCTTCAGTAGCACGTCGCCATTTCGCTTTCGTCTCTGCAGTCTTTTTAACTTAGCTCCAAGACTGACCAGACTCTTTCATTTCTTCTTAACACGATCTCCTCCATGTTGTCACACTCGGACGCCAAACTAGTTGTTTAGAGCTTTCGGACATCATTATAGCCACTCGAAAACTCAGTGTGCTAGTGGTTGTCGTCTCGGTGACAATATAGGAGTAGGTCATTGACTATCAAGTTAACAGTTTTAGGAGTCCACTTCCATTCCATCTGCTTTCGCAGATTTCCAGCACTTCTATGCTCTACCGTCTCATCTGTTTAGCAGTCTGGGCAGCTTTGCCAGACAGCTTGAAACATAGTGCGGACATTCCATGTCCCCATGCTTACATTGAGAGAAGCAAAGACATATAGGCCAATTGGCTTCCCGAAGGCTTTCACCACCTGGCTTCATTTCGTCTCCTCGATTCAAGCAAGGAATAAGTTTATTTTTATTTCAAGCTTCTCTAGCGATTGGACTGGTTCTCCGGAGTAGGGTTGCTAGTCCTATGCCCAACCTTCTCTCTTTATCCGGACTTAGGACCGGCTAGCAAACCAGTGAAGTAGTCAACTAGGCGAGGTTTTTACTGAAAAAAAGCTTCATAAGCTATTCAAATGTCCAATGAGTTCAACGGTATCTGTAGCCAGTGACCACCAAATTTGATGTTGTTAGAAGGTGACCAAAAATGGATATCATCATTCAAGGTCATTCACCGTTGGAGCGGGGGGGAGAAATATTTTCGTTTCATATCTTGATCGGTTAAATTAATTTTACTGAACTATTGTGTATTTTAGATTGTTAATGATCAAGTAGCTTCATTTTCTGAGTAGAAGCTGTATATAAGTAGTGTTTTTTTGTCAAACAAAATTGTCTTCTTTAAGTCAATCATAGACCCATCTTTCGTGGCTCAGTGAAGTATCAAGTGTAGAGGGGAACAGTTGTATTACTTATATCCAGTCTGTATCTCATTGCGTTATTACTTGTTTCACCTACTATCAGAACTCACATCATACTCCGATTCAGTGACATCAGATGTTTTCCACGAAATATCAACCTATCAAACTTATATACCACAAAATATGTGACAAAGACGATAATCACGTGACTGAAGGGAACAATTAAGACTAATCAGTTCACTTAATTCTGAGATAATCGAAATTTCAAATTTCCATACAACAGTTCAACCAATTTTATAGAAGTAGGCTTCATCTACAATAACTCAGGGATATGGATAAAAGTATAATATTTAAAGAAAAGCATATGCTCTGTGAAAACTTGAAATCTACCTTGATAAACCTAAGCAGTAAACACATCCATAGTTGTCCTATTAACTATCTCAACTTTCGAATATTAAGCAAGTATAGTAACTTAGTTGTTTACCTACCTGTTCAGTATAGTGCACAACTTGAGAAATGTACTATCAACTGTACATTCAATAATAAAAATTTCTGTGTACACAAATCTACCTTTTATGCATTTATAATTTAAATGTATGAATGGTTGTATTTCTATTTACTCTCTCTTTCTATCTAGGTGGATTTGTCACCGCCTAATATTTCAAAATATGATCATCGACAAGTTGAACAATTTACAGTTTCTCAATATCATTGTAATTCGTCACAACAGTTGGATATTTGCGATCAATGTGAGTCAAAAGTGTTCTCTATCACTAAATGTATTTGAAACTAGCATAATTTTATGAAATTTTTAATGTACTACGGCGTTTCGTCCTAGTTGAGACTCGACAGCTGGATGTACCAACATTCCAGTGCATGATGTTATCCACACTGATACTTGAACTTGATACCCACCCCTTCAAACACAAAAATGTTATCCCTAAGATTACAGTATAATGAATAGCCAATCAGTGTAGATACATCTACCAACAGAGGTTGAACAATCCTATCCAGTATTGTAACGAAAAATCGCAAGGATCAATAAATAATCCATATCACTTAGTTTACTTTTCAGTCGAAAATCTATTGGACAATTTTACGCAATAAAACAAGTAAATACACTCTCACTAGTACACAGTTCAGAGGGTATTATCAATCCCATTTGCATGGATTTCAAGTGACTGGCTGATTTTTACTGACTTCTGATTACTAATTGGCATCATCTACAGACTCATGCAAAATTTTGAAGTATTCGATGAGTTTTTGAAAGAATTTCAAATTAACTCACGGTCAAAAACCACCGATACTGTCAGGTCTCAATAAAACCTGTCAACTCTTCAGCTGAAGGTTTCAAACACCTATGCTGTTGGTTGTGTAAGATATTCACGTTGGTTCATAATCTGTTGGTGAATAGTTAATCCTTGGAGACTGTCCTAAACTTCACATTGCCGAGTGTCTTGAAAACTAAGTCAGTAGCGATCGGTACTACTAGCCTTTCCATATACTTTATGCTACAGGAAAAATTAAATCATGTACCGATCAAATTGCAACACTACGCTATGCATCATCATAGAACAGACCATACGATGGAGGTCAACTTTCTACCTAAGGTACATCGACTTTGAAAAGGCCTTCGACAGCGTCGACCGAGAAATAATTTGGCAGACAGCTGCTTCAACACTACACTTTTAATGCCACAACCCTTTATCAACCTCATTCAACAGCAGATATATGCCTTTATGAGGATGCTACATGTCAGGTGATCCACAATAGAAAGCTCAGTGATGCCTTTGAAGTGAAGACAGGTTGACATGTAAGACAAGGTTGCCACCTACTACCACCAATTATCTTCGTGATTGTGGTCGACTGGACTAGGTCATGCAGGCTGGACCGACGAAGAGACCTTACATGATTTGGATTTCGCCGATGATGTCACACAAACTCGAAGATGTACAGGCAAAAACCAGCAAGTTGACAGAAGAGACAGGGTAGCGAAGACGAGACTTCATTCAGGTGAACGTAGAGTAGACAGAGATGATGAAATGACCCAACCAACAATAGCAACAACAACAAGCACCAATCACCATCAACGGGAAAAATGTAACGAAGTTGTCTCTTTCACCTACTTACCTACCTAACAAGACAGCATCGTCTCAACTACAGGTGGCACACACACAGATGAGGACATCAAAGCCAGGCCTTCCTCCATTAATCTGAAATAAACAGTGTGCAGATCTACTGCACTGCACTGCACCGCACTCAGCATAAAGTGTGAACAACATACGGATTTTCAACACTAATTGAGTCAAGTAAGTCAGTGCTTCTATTTGACGGTTGAGAGACTTGGTGCGTTGTGAAAAGCATTCACAACAAACTACAGACATACATCATCAACAGCTGCCGCCTGCGCTTACTCGATACTGAAGATCAGATGGATGGTGAGAATAGTAAGAATAAGCATGGAGGAACTCTGGCTGGCTGGCTACGAACCAACCGAGAACCTATTGCCCAACAAATATATAGAAGAAGAAACTGTAGATGGATTGGATTAGACATACACTGAGAAGACCGTTTGGGAACATCACGCGCCAGGTCAGGCCTCCGAGTGGATGCCAAGAGGAAAATGACGAGTTTGGCGTCCGAGTATGACATGGAGGAGATCGTATGAGGAAGAAATGAGAGATCCTGAGAAGTAGTGGAGCCAGGTCTGAAAGATTTAAGAGAAGAGAGTGAAGTGGCGACGTGTTACTGAAGCCCTGTGTTCCACTAGGAACCCAAAGAATAACAACAATAATATGCTTTATACTCGGAAACGTGTGTGAAATTAATGAAAGCATCTTAGAAGTGGTCAATATGAGTGGTGTTCATTGTGTAATGACTCTGTTATTCTTTCGCTTTGTACATTTCCTTCTTCGTGCTTTCATGATGTTGTTTAGGAATAGAAATAATCCTTCGAAGTAGGTTTGATTAAACTAATAGATAGGAAGCCCTGGAACTAGGTTTCATGGTTGTTGGCACTGGTCAGCTAGGCATAACTACAATCTCGATGAACCTGATATCTACTATGGGATTTCAACTCGCGTCACTCAGTATTTTAGTCAGTGACGTTACCACTCAGATATCCGGCCTATAACTGACCTTGAACATCGATATTTTAAAAACAAACATCCCGTCGTAAGGTTACATTAAACGTGAATGGGTAGTAGTATAGTGATCTCTGTTCTACACTCTTTGATTCAAAGTTATATAAGCTATACAGTGTGGTCACTATATGCTAGTCGACTCATTATTGAAATCCGTTGTGTTCAATAGTAGAGGCTGGTCTGTAAAACGTACTAGAGCTTCGCTTCGTTCTTAATGGATCTCAACTCTAGTCTTGAGAAAAATCTTACTCCTCTAGGAATGCGGATTTTTGTGCGGTTATCAAACTCTTTGTTGGGAGATATGTGGCGGGCTAATTGGAATTGATTATATTGATGGGCATTGCTTTCTTTTGAGATATGAAACAGAATGAGGCTAAATACGTGGAGGACTATGGATTTCTTAGGTGTCACAGGCATAGCTTAACTGTCAATTGACACGAAAGGTTGTCTCCTTCAAAGTTCACAGATACGCTGAGGTGCCCGCTGGTTGTCAGATATGTTAAACTTACTTATTTACAGCGAAGCCAATGGGTTGAGGCTTATTAAACAACGTCATCTTTTCAAGTTGGTCCTCATCACGGATTGACATCATTTGGAGAACTAGCATAGGTATTTCGTCCTCATACGAGACTCGTCAGCAGTACGCAACCATGAACCCGTCAGGAACCGAGCAAATGGCCCCTAGATTTTGTTTGAAAACACTCCTTACTCATAGACACACTAATTTCAAATGTCTGCTAGTCACTATAGTAACTACTAGCAGTTAGTTTTCGAAAGGGTTAAAGTGTATCACTATTTCGATTCTGCAGTGATCATGATTACTGATTGATAGGAATTCAAAGGTCAAAACGCATATGATGTAAAACGACCTTGTATCTCACCGGAAGAATCACTAATAAGCTAAAGTTTTTATTCATTTCTACATTGTCATATCCCTAATTCGGGAGTAACTTTAATAGTAACCCCAAGACAACTACTAAAATGACCAAACGGTCATCTACATTTGAAGTAAATTTAAAGGCTACCCTAGAAACTGCTGAAATAACCAGTCAGGTTTCAGTATATTGGTAATGAAGGAAGCTTTCAGTAAAGTAGAGAAATGTAAGTGGTTGTTTTGATAGTGTGGTGTTTTCTAAGCTGGAGGGTTTAGTCAGGCAGATTTCATTGTCATTCTAGATACAACATCATCAACACAAAATCCAAAATGATGTCACTTATAGGGTTTCCCCCACAAGCGACTTACAAGCTTGTCCTATTGGCTTTCTGTGTGATTGGTTGTTTCTGTCAAAGTCTCGTCAGTGTCTCCATATTCATTCTGATTGGTTGTTGTGATGACCTGAAATCTAACCTTTCTGTTGATTCTTATTGGTTGATAGACTGGGTCAGTGTCAATGTGTTTGTTAATTGTTGACTGATATGAATACCAAACTTCTGAACATTCTCTGGCATGTTTTATATTTCTGGTATCCGGGATCGCCATATTTTCCGATTCACATTCATGTCCACAGTTGTTCTGTACGCATTGATACGAGGGAAGATATGTCATTAGGCTTCATTGATAGTTGATGTTAGTGTAGACGGATGAGAAGAGAGTGATCATTCTGTCCAATCTAGTGTTTTCACAGTTTCTACAGTTTGTTTTGTAGATAATATTTGATTTGCTTTCCTTTGCTATTGCATCTTTTGGCTTGCCTAATAGAGATTGAAGAGATTTTGAGTCTTGTGAGATACATCGGTAGCAAAAAGGCTTCAATAATCTACTCGTGATCTCGAAGACGTTCTTCGTATAGGGTAGGACAGTCTGTTTGTTTGTTTTCGAGGTTGACTTTTCGGTTGACGAGAAACTACGCAAACATCTATTGATGAAGTTGCGTGGATAGCCATTCTTCTGGAAAATAGTCATTAAATAATTTTCTTATTTTCTCCGCAAGGCTGGTGTACTCCAGTGTATTTTCTTCCTTTTGAACTATGTCTTTATACAATTGATTTTGTATACTGTTGGATTGTTGCTATTGCAGTTGAGGACTTGGTCCGTACGAGTTAGTTTTTTGAATACTTCAGTTTCCAGTTTTCTTCAATCTGTTCTAGTGATCAGAACATCTAGCAATGCAAGTTTGTGATTTGATTCCTGTTCAATTGGGAATTTTGATGTCATCGAGAATGTTGTTGATTAGTTTGTAAGCGTTTTCCAATTTGTTTTCTTTTAATGATGACAAATGTATCATTTACATATCAAACCCAAAGTTTTGGTCTGATTAGCAGTGATACCACAAATTTTTTAGTCTACTGACTGCTTCTGCAGTTAGTCCTAAACTAGGCGATCCCATTGATATTCCTTCTGTCTGTTTGTAGAGTTTGTCGATGAATTGATAATAGGTTGTAGGGCAAACATCAATTAATTCCATCAAACTTGAACATTTCAGTTGTGTATGTGTATCATTGGTGCGGAGAAGAGTCAACGTATCTTTAGCTAGTTTCAGTTCACTTGAGGTGTATAGAGCTGTAATATCGAAAGACACAACCTTCACTCATATTAATGCGTACAGAACAACTGTGGACAGGAATTTGACGGTTAAAATGTGAAAATTCAGAGAAAGTTCAGAAGT